GCTTGTTTTTTTTGAAAAACATTTGTTGCAACTGTTAAAAAAATGTAACTAGAAATGGGATTTAATTTGTTTATCTCTTCCTTAAAATCCCTTGAAAACTACATGTCTACCTTACACTACTTAGGCCATAGACGTTGCCATTCCCCTATCAACACAATCAGTGTTAGCTCCGGAGCTATTGTGTTCTCCAGAGGAGGGGAGCTGTCTATACTGAGAGAACACAGTGATTATTACTAGTGGCTATAGCTGCTGGCAATAATCACATGTCAAAATCCAACATGCTGGTTGTACCTAAGTTGTACAACAATCAAATTGGGTACAATCAGTCTGCCCATAGATGGTTCGAATCTCTGCAGAGGAAGGGAGTTCGGGTCCCAGAACTCGTCAGTTTTTTCAGTCAGATGGGTTCCAGGATGGGACCCCACTTCCCTAGATTGAACTGGCTATGATAGAGGCCTGTATTAGTATTCCTTTTGTGTGTATCTATTTGTCTTTGAGGTTTTAAAGTGTCACTAAACCCAGGACCCTGCATTCACTATATCTGGTCTCCCACAGTACACACAACATGGAAATGCAATTATTTTAGTAAATATAAACTGCTAAATACCTTTTATCAGCAGTTAGAGCAGTCATGTGACTTATATTAGTGTTCAGCAGAGCACTGGTTAAAGCTTGTAGGAGGTGTTTTCATTTTGCTCTAAAAGGAGGCAGAACCCCTGCCCTCTGTTTGGACAATGTTGATTAGCCCTGTTCTGATCACATGCACAGAGAAAAACAAAACCTTTCTAGCAATACACACCACACTGAGCATGTGCAGAGTGACTCCCCACAATATGTCTTATCAGGAGAAAAGAGGGGGACACCGAAAGAAGGGGAGGATCAGAGAAGTCAGGATCAACAGCATTTTTACACAATGCAGAGGATTAACCCCTTAGGTTCCACAATGAGTATTACAAGCATGATTTACTGCATATACAGACTGATTTTACTGTTGTGGATTTAGTAACACTGAAATAAAAACTTTTATTACGGTAATGCACGGGGGGTTGTGCGCCCTTCTGTGTATTTTGCAGTTATCTTAAAGCGGAGTTCCACCTGAACAAAAAATAAATAAAAGTCAGCAGCTACAAAAACTGTAGCTGCTGACTTTTTTAAAATATTTATTTCAGGTACTTATATAGTGCTGTCAATTTACGCAGCACTTTACATATATATTGTACATTCACATCAGTCCCTAACCCTCAAGGGGTGTACAATATAGCCACTTACCTGTTCCTTGGTCTAGTGGTGTCCTCACCATGGCTGGTTTCACCGGCCGTCTTCTCTCCCTTGCTCCGGCATCTTCAGTGTGGGCACCTGGCTGTGACAGCTTGAGGCTTCACAGCCGGGTGCCCACTGTGCATGCGTGAGTAGCGCTGCGCTTTGTGAATGGCCCCGTAGTCTTCTGGGACCCGTCACGTGTCCCAGAAGACTACGGGAAGGGAGGGGGGGGGGGGGGGGGGGAGGACGATTTCTGCTTCCGATAGCTTAGGCGACTGCAGCAGAAGTGGGAGTGGGTATCTGTCAAATTCAGCTACCCCCCCCACTCCCCAAAGGTGCCAATCCTTAATGGGGAGCAGGGGACAAAGGCTTAAAGCGGAACTTCCCCTTTTGGTTGGAGCTCTGCTTTAAGATTCCACGATCTGTGGAGGGTTGCATTTGAGTCAGTATCATGTACCGTATATTTGTGTGGAGCACCTAGAATGTTTTTCATATATATGAACTATCATCTTAGGCTGGCTTTAGTCAACAGGGTGACAGCACTGCTGTGCAGTTTCATCGCAGAACATACAGCGTTGTCAGTGAATTACAAGAAGTTGAAAACTAACAGATGTGTTGACAGGATCAACAGCTGATAAAAATGATACACAAGGGACTATGTTAATGCTAGCGATAGACTTTATGATATATATTTTTTTTTTTTCAAAGTTACACTCTAAAGGGTTAGACCACCTTTACAAAAAAAAAGCTGCCTATGCAGGTAAGGAGTGGCTGTAGATAAAAAATGTGAAGCTTTGACTAGCGTTGAATAAGGCCCTTGCTATAGGTGTACACCATTTATGTACCTCCCAAAGCCTGGTTGAAAAACTCCCAGAGATCGCATCATCCCCTCCTCTCTTATTGCTAGGATGTTGCTAAGACACTCACAGCCATTGCTGCTCACCCCGTGTCATCACAGGAGCCAGCTGTCAAACCCCCCACACGTGGTCCACTATTTCCTCTGCTGCAGCATCACTGAGCTCAGAGCTTCTGTGCAGGGTAGAAAGAGTGCATGCAAGGGGGGTTGAATTGGCTGTGAGTATCTTAGCAATGTCCTAGAAACAAGGCTGGATAGAATGATGCCATCTCTGGTAGTTTTTTAGCCAGGCTTGTGAGGTACGTAAATGGCCTACCTATAGAAAGAGCATTATTTAACATTGGTCAAAGCTGCACAGTTTGTTTTGATCTACAAGCACCCCTTACCTTCATAAGCAGTTTCTTTTTATAAAGGTGAACGAATTCTTTAAGTTTACAATTTCAAAAGTTAGGGTTATAGGAGGGTTAGTATGAGGAGGACCTTCGTTCTACTTGATTTCTGTAGATCATGATCTCACCTGGCCACATTTGCCTTTCAACACATTTAGAAGCCTTCATTCGTCCATTTACCCACTAATAGCTGCAAAACGTAGTGCAGGTGACTTGCAATCATTATAATATTTAGTAACTGGGTAGGAGGAATTATTTGTTTTTTGCTTCTGTTGTCAGATGCTGCTATATATGTGAAATGAGGCAGCAGTGCTTTACAAGGACGAAGAGCAGCGCTGCACTTATATCTGTATGCATATAAAACATGCAGTTATTTTGTGGACTGAGCAAATATTCATGAAATCATGAGATAACAATAGTGCAAAGGTTCTTATTGAAGAGATACTATGATGGTTTTAGCTTGTTTTTTTTTTTTACTATAAATATATAGTCTTTGTTTTACTAATAAACAATTATTGCTAAAGCACTGCGGATTAACTCAAGAGACAGCACAGCATAGATGCTTGCTTTATAGCACACTCTGTCTGACTGACAGGTTTGCTTTCATCAAAGTAGCAAACTGAGAGCCTTCAAATGATCCCAAAAGGAATGAATCACTGCTGTGGGTCTTTCCTTTGTGTGTAAATTAGTTTGAAATCTGTATACAACAGCATTTTGTTCATCCAAGGGCCATGTGAAGAGGATCCTAACGTGCCACCTAGTGGCTAAAAATAAATAAATAAAATATGAATATGTAATATTTCATATAGTATTATATACCCTAGTCCTGACAGAGAAGAAAACATGCAGAAACCAACCACATGTTAAAGATTAGGATCAGAACCATACTATAAATAAAACATTATTTGTAATATAAAATAAAACACTTAGCATTTGTGTTGGAGTGCAGCTTACTAGAGGCACATGGCTCAATTATTGATTGGCCATTTTCTGCAGACCAACATCCCATAACTGGATCACCTGAAGTTTTAATACTAATATATGCCTAGATATAGTATAAAAGGGTTGGAAGATACATTTCTGTGAAGGTCACATTGATATGCATCTACTGGGACTGAAGAAATGTATAGGTTAAAGGGACCCTTTTCCTTTGCTTTTGCAGGATGAAAAGTTTTCTTAACTCCCCTTTTTCCCAGCAGCACATTCTCACCTTTTCTCAGGACCCCAGTTATTAATTTACTTCCAGCTCTTGCCGGTATGGCCAAGTCTGACTCATTATCTCCCCATAACAATGCTAGGAACCTTCAGATTGACCCAGCATGGGCCCAAAAAAAACTTCATAGTGTGAGCACTTACAAGTCATTTAAAAGCTTAGACGGGGTTTTTTTCTGGTTTCAGTGGCTGTACAGAGCAGTGCAGGAGCGAGAACAGGTATGTACTCTTGTTTGGGTGGGGACCACATGAACATTTTACTTTGTCCTCCACAAGTAAAGGAAAGGGTCATTTTAAAATGTAAAAATTCATATGCTAACCAACTCCAGATCAGGCTGCCTGCAAGCAAGAAACAGAGGTACTGGATAGCCTTATATGTCTGTATTAGTCAGAGCAAATCCAAAAAAAAAGTACCAGGAGTTAGTTGATATGATCTTGGCCATCCATGCAATAGTTGAGCAACAACAACTGGTTACTAACATTTATGGGTAAAGTTAATCCAGGGAATATCTGATTGCCTCTTGAGGGATCAGGAGGGAATTGTCTTCCCCTGCAGAAGCAAATTGGATCATGCTTTGCTTGTTTTTTTTTAACCTTCCTCTGGATCAAATGTGGGTGTAGTTATAACTTTTTTCTTTTAATGGTTGAACTGGATGGACTTTGGTCTTTTTTCAGCCAGACTAACTATAACTCACTATGTAACACTACCTACTTTACTTTGCTGGGTTTGCTCTGAATTAGCACTATTAGACAAGGGAGCTCCCTATTGGTCATGTAATGCAATGGGTGGCCTTGCTTACCAGTAGAGAGGCATTGGAGGCCAATACCATCTTTAATATCTACATGAAAATTGCCCAATTCCAGATTGTTCCAGGTTTACTGCACATTTTTATGTTTGAATGGAGTGTACCAAATAATCTGAAATTGTTCTTGTTCATCCTCCACTTTATATTTTTTAACTTGCAATTTGTGGGAGCTTCATCAGACCTCAAACTCCTGTCACTTCTTACTAAAGAAAATAATAAACCATTAGAGAAACAATAGTATTCTGTACAACTTTTACATGGGGAATTGCCCCTGTAACTCAGGCCAGTAGGAGGCAGTGTATTATACATTAGTGGGTTTATAAATTCCTATCAGAAGCATGTACTTATGATATCCTTGGCTTAAACATCTTTTTACAAGCAGCACAAGAGTCCTTCTGGAAGGTGGTAAGAGAACTGTACAGTCTGAAGCTTTAAAACTGTTTGAACAAGTCTAATGCAGTCTTTTCTCTGTTGTAGTCATGGTAATAAAGAAGTGTTTTCTTGCCGTGGGATCAAGCTAGCCGTCTCCTGGTTCTTGGACAGAGGACATAAGAATGTCACCGTATTTGTACCAGCCTGGAGGAAGGAACAGTCCCGACCAGATGCACTCATAACTGGTGAGTTTCACTTCCATGGTGTTTTTGTTGAATTTTGCAGCAGAAATAGTATAAATAGCATTCATCACATTATTGTCTACTTGCCTAGTGGGCTGTACCTAGGCTGGATTTACTGTCATACCCAGGCTGCATTTTACTATGCCCCCTACATCAACTATCTCATAATGCCCCTTTTCTACCCCAGAAAACCAGCTAGCCTTAGTATGACACTGACAGTATTAGATCAGATGTCTAGGTTCAGGTCCTTCCCAATATGTATCAATAAACCTAAAACAGACTAGGTAAACTGTTGCCAAACTTTGGGCCCATACACTTATATCTGAATTGGTATCATAATGGGTAAGCTGTAGGTACAGAGTACAGTGTTCTACCAACAAGAATACACTGGGGTTGATTTACCAGAACTGGAGTGCGCAAAATCTGGTGCAGCTCTGCATAGAAGCCAATCAGCTTCCAGTTTCTTTCTTGTCAAAGCTTAACTGAACAAGCTGAAGTTAGAAGCTGATTGGCTACCATGCATAGGTGCACCAGATTTTGCACTCTCCAATTTTGGTAAATCAACCCCAATGTTTCCACAGAGAAAGTATGCAGGGACAGCAACAGTGAGGACACAGTTGGTTTGCATTAGCAGGCATGGCGGAAGTCTGTAAACTACACGTGACTGTGTTACAGACAGTCCGCAAGATATTATGTGTCTGGCTGTATGCTGCCCTAGGCAACCCTGCTACGGTCTTTTTTGGCTAGATAGAAACGTGGCCCTGAATATACTCTATTGGCTGTGTTTAACCTCAGCTGTTTTCCATAGGGCTTCTGCTGTATCTGTGAAAGGGCCAGCTAAGTGGTTTCTTGCTAAAACATGTCAGAGTTTATGAGTAACATTGTAGACTACTGTACAAGTTCTGTATTTAACTGACATTTTTTTCTATCAGATCAAGAAATCCTGCGCAAGTTAGAAAAGGACAAGATCCTGGTCTTTACTCCATCCCGCCGAGTCCAGGGCAGAAGGGTAGTGTGCTATGATGATCGCTTCATAGTGAAGCTGGCATTTGAATCAGATGGCATTATTGTGTCGAATGACAACTATCGGGATCTGGCCAACGAGAAGCCTGAATGGAAGAAATTCATTGACGAGAGGTTGCTAATGTACTCATTTGTCAATGACAAGTAAGTGTTTTAGGGATTTGAAAAAATGGCAGTTACAGTGCCTTGAAATTTTCCACATTTTGTCATGTTAAAACCAAAAAATGTAAATGTATTTTATGAATAGACCAACACAAAGTGGCACATAATTGTGAAGTGGAAGGAAAATGATAAATGGTTTTCAAATTTTTTTACAAATAAATATTTGAAAAGTGTGGCGTGCATTTGTATTCAGCCCCCTTTACTCTGATACCCCTAACTAAAATATAGTGGAACCAATTGCCTTCAGAAGTCACCTAATTCGTAAATAGAGTAGTACTGTGTGTAATTTAATCTCAGTATAAATACAGCTGTTCTGTAAAGGAACACATCAGACACGTAAGGGATAAAGTTGTGGGGAAGTTTAGCGCAAGGTTAGGTTAAAAAAAAAATATCCCAAGCTTAGAGCATCTCATGGAACACTGTTCAATCCATCATCTAAAATGGAAAGCACATGGCACAACTGCAAACCTACCAAGACATGGCTGTCCACCTAAACTGACAGGCCAGGCAAGGAGAGCATTAATCAGAGAAGCAGCCAAGAGGCCCATGGTAACTCTGGAGGAGCTGCAGAGATCCACAGCTCAGGTGGAAGAATCTGTCCACAGGACAACTATTCGTCGTGCACTCCACAAATCTGGCCTTTATGGAAAAGTGGCAAGAAGAAAGCCATTGTTGAAAGAAAGCCATAAGAAGTCCCGTTTGCAGTTTGTGAGAAGCCATGTGGGGGACACAGCAAACATGTGGAAGGAGGTGTTCTGGTCAGATGAGGCCAAAATTTAACTTTTTGGCCTAAACACAAAATGCTATGTGTGTCAGAAAACTAACACTGCATATCACCCTGAACACATCATCCCCACCGTGAAACACGATGGTGGCAGCACCATGTTGTGGGGATGCTTTTCTTCAGCAGGGACAGGGAAGCTAGTCAGAGTTGATAGGAAAAGGGATGGAGCCAAATACAGGGCAATCTTAGAAGAAAACCTGATAAGAGTCTGCAAAAAGACTGGGGCGGGGGTTTACCTTCCCACAGGACAACGACCCCAAACATACAGCCAGAGCTACAATGGAATGGTTTAGATCAAAGCATATTCATGTGTTAGAATAGCCAAGTCAAAGTCCAGACCTAAATACAATTGAGAATCTGTCGCAAGACTTGAAAATTGCTGTTCACAGACGCTCTTCCTCCAATCTGACAAAACTTGAGCTATTTTGCACAGAAGAATGGGAAACAATTTCAATCTCTAGATGTGCAAAGTTAGTAGAGACATCCCCAAAAATACTTGCAGCTGTAATTGCAGCAAAAGGTGGTTCTATAAAGTGTTGACTCAGGGGGGCTGAATACAAATGCACACCACACTTTTCAGATTAACAAATTTTGAAAACCATTTATCATTTTCTTTCTACTTCACAATTATGTGCCACTTTGTGTTGGTCTATCACATAAAATCCCAATAAAATACATTTACGTTTTTGGTTGGAACATGACAAAATGTGGAAAATTTTCAAGATGTATAAATACTTTAAGGCACTGTATATTGATGCATGCAAAGGACAAGCAGTGTGTACTTTCTCTGGTGTTAAAAAAATACATGCTGTACAATCCTGTGTCTTTCTATGTTGTACAAAATCTATATAGCACTGTTTGGTTGCAGTTTTTCAAAAGCAAAAGCCCAATTAAAAATAGTACATTCAATTATTAATAAAATTGTAAAATTATATAAATGTGTTAAGGGTGCTCAAAGTCTTAATGTTACTGTATTTATTAGAGCAGCTTCATCTCTGCTAAATCAGCTTGTCCCCCACCAGTAGCCTACAGCTAGGACCACTGCACCCTGTGTGTGAGAACAGTGGTCTGTCTGCAGCGGTCTAACACACCTCCATCTGAACCACACCTGTAACTTTCCAATCAGCAATGCTCACGCTTCCTGCTGACTGGAGAGCATTAGCCTTGACTCGGTGGGGGTGTGTTGGACCGCTGCAGAGATACCACTGCTCTCACACAGAACACAGTAGATGCTGCTACAATATAGAAAATGTCATGAAGACTTTATCCTTGCAATAGGTAGTTGCTGGTGTTCTCTCAGTCATTCACCAGTTTGTCATATGTCTAAAAGACCCATGAATGAGGCATTCAGTGGGGTAATAAATATTTATCTACTGATATGATGTGCTTGGTGCGCTGGCACTTACACAGACTCACTTACTAGTGTGTATATACAGTAATATAAATAATATTATAGTGCGCGCGCTCCTATTTGTGTGGCAGATAGAACCTGAGACATTTATGCTTAGAGAATCTCACTCTTATCTTCGGTAGGTGGAGTTTTGATTACGGTATATGTCACAAAGAAAAATGAGAACTTCAGCAAGGAGAACTTGTTATGGTCACATAATGCTGTAAATAGTGAATACTTGTGAGCTATTATGAATGAGGCATTCAGTGGGTAATAAATATTTATCTACTGATATGATGTGCTTGGTGCGCTGCTGCACTTACACAGACTCACTTACTAGTGTATATACAGTAATATAAATATATTTTTATAGTGCCGCGCTCCTATTTGTATATATATATAGCTTAATCCAATCTACTCTCATTCTTAATAAATAAATAAATTGATATCTAAAACAATACATAAATCACTGTGACTAGTGAATAAAAAATAATAAATCAATTGCGAATCACTGTGAATAGTGAATCAATTAAAAATGGATAAATATAAATAAATCAAAAACCTTAATTAATGTGACTGATATCAATCAATCCGAAAATCCTTAATTAGATGTGACTGTTAAGTGGATGAAACTAGGGTATGTAAAATCCTAAATCTGTGCCACTCTAATCTGATGTGATCAATCCATCTATATTGTGCAAAAGCATATATAAATGTGCAGGTGCAATCAATAAAGTTCATAAATAAAAGTCTTTAAAATAAGTGCAATGTGCAGGTGAATTCCTTATTCCCTCTCGCCAGGTGCTTAGTGGTCTCCCTATGCGCTCACCTTGGTATTTGCATAAATAAATTCAGGCAAATAAGCTTTTAATCCTTCCAGGATTGATGGGATAATACTCTTGTATAAGATGTTCCAAAAGATGGGTGTAGATCTATTGGGATCCTCCTGTGCTCTCCTCTTTCTCCTTGTGCAGCTGCTCATAGATGGGTGTTTTGACCAGCTCTATAGGAATCTCCTAATTCCCCTCCTGGGGTCACCTCCTTCTCAAATCCTCCTTTCACCAGCATGGGGAATGTGGGTCAAATGAAGGAAAGAAGAAAAAAAGACCATGGTGCCTTATCCTTTTGTGTAAAGGAAATTTATTACTGCCAGTTGCGGTATTACACAGCGGTGTATGGCTCTTATGTGATCCAGGACAGCATAGGTGATATCGGTCAGTAGTGAGTAAGTAATACTCTGCCTCTGCCTCTGTCTTCCTACCTGCCTCTGTCTGCACTGGAATCACCGAGCCTCTCCGATGCAACGTCGTGACGTCAGAGCCCCTCCCCTACGCGTTGCGTCACAGGGTCAAGTGACTTCATCAGGGGGAAAATGATTCAACACGTAGGGGAGGGGCTCTGACGTCACGACGTTGCATCGGAGAGGCTCGGTGATTCCAGTGCAGACAGAGGCAGGCAGGAAGACAGAGGCAGAGGCAGAGTATTACTTACTCACTACTGACCGATATCACCTATGCTGTCCTGGATCACATAAGAGCCATACACTGCTGTGTAATACCGCAACTGGCAGTAATAAATTTCCTTTACACAAAAGGATAAGGCACCATGGTCTTTTTTTCTTCTTTCCTTCATTTGACCCACATTCCCCATGCTGGTGAAAGGAGGATTTGAGAAGGAGGTGACCCCAGGAGGGGAATTAGGAGATTCCTATAGAGCTGGTCAAAACACCCATCTATGAGCAGCTGCACAAGGAGAAAGAGGAGAGCACAGGAGGATCCCAATAGATCTACACCCATCTTTTGGAACATCTTATACAAGAGTATTATCCCATCAATCCTGGAAGGATTAAAAGCTTATTTGCCTGAATTTATTTAGGCAAATACCAAGGTGAGCGCATAGGGAGACCACTAAGCACCTGGCGAGAGGGAATAAGGAATTCACCTGCACATTGCACTTATTTGAAAGACTTTTATTTATGAACTTTATTGATTGCACCTGCACATTTATATATGCTTTTGCACAATATAGATGGATTGATCACATCAGATTAGAGTGGCACAGATTTAGGATTTTACATACCCTAGTTTCATCCACTTAACAGTCACATCTAATTAAGGATTTTCTGATTGATTGATATCAGTCACATTAATTAAGGTTTTTGATTTATTTATATTTATCCATTTTTAATTGATTCACTAGTCACAGTGATTCGCAATTGATTTATTATTTTTTATTCACTAGTCACAGTGATTTATGTATTGTTTTAGATATCAATTTATGTATTTATTAACAATGAGAGTAGATTGGATTAAGCTATATATATATACAAATAGGAGCGCGGCACTATAAATATATTTATATTATTGTTATGGTCACAGCAGGTTGGCAGACCTGAAAACTTAGTGGAAATAAAGTCCTCAGATATTCAGTTCCACTTGCCGGCATCCAGCAGACTTTGAAATGGCAGCTGCGGGTGAACTGACCCATTATACATCACATACAATGATTAGTTAGGTGCTGACGTACTAATGGCTCATATGCTTCCAATATTATTTCAGTTCTATGTGAGATACGATTAATTCACATGACGTGTATGCAGGGTGACAGACGCAAGCTGAGCAGAAAATTAACTCCATCTGCATGTGTCTTCCAATGCCGAGCTCTATAAAATCTCATCTCAGATAACAATCGAATTACTTCCTTTCTGTAATCCATTTTTTGGAAAATGTTCAGCTCCTACTGAGCATTAATAAGTTAAGAAACTCCGGACCTTCAAGTCTCCATTGTAATGATATTAATTGTCGTCTATGAATCAGTAATGACATTTTTATGAGCACCACTGACTAGGTTCTCATTTATAAAGAAGAGAAAATAGAATAGAACATTGAAGGTTGTCAATGTCTTCTTGTCTGCAGTGTGTACGAGAGCTGCTACCTAAATATAACTCTGGTGATGCCATCGTTTTCTCTCTTTCCAAATGTTGCAGTCAGTGAAAGAGATGATCTGACGAGTTTCTAATTAAATATAACCTACATTGCACATTAACACTTCATCTTCGATGGGAAAAAAAGCAACATAATCTCTTACAATTGCAGAATGTACAATTAGAATATGCATTGTAATTAAAAAGACATTATTCTTCAAAGAATGAAAAATGTACATTTATAGTATATGTACATTGCTAAAGGATAAGCACACTTTAAAACAAGTGTCTTGGGACACAACACCATGGAAGTCCATTGGGAGACACTGTGCAAGCGGGGATAAAGCACAGAAGACTTTCAGAGCAACAAATGTCTATTTGAGGTGGGGAAGTGTAGGCAAGGTTTTATAAGTGGGATTCTAAGAAAGGGGGCAAATAATGCACCTTGTTTTATGGGGTCTTTAACAAATTAAGGTTTTACTTTACCACATGTATTAAAACTGTGGGACATTTTTTAATAAAAATCTGTACTTAATAGTATACCAATCAAATAGATCTAAACAAGCAACAGCATGCAATGTTTGCTTAAAGTTAACATATTATAAGAGACACATGGAGACTGTCATTTCTGATCTTTCGTCCCAGATCTGGCCTAGGGCATCACTGAGCTCCTGGACAGTCTGAGGTGCAACCTGGGAGTGTTGGATGGAACAAGACATGATATCCTAGAGGTGTTCTATTGGATTTAGGTCCAACGGGCGTGGGGACCATTCAATAGTATCAGTTCCTTCATCCTCCAGGAACTGCCTGCATACTCTTGCCACATGAGGCCGGGCATTGTCTTGCACCAGGAGGAACCTAGGACCCACTGCACCAGCATAGGGTCTGACAACGGGTCAAAGGATTTCAACAGGATACCTAATGGCAGTCAGGGTGCCATTGTCTAGCCTGTAGAGGTCTGTGCATCCCTCCATGGATATGCTTCCCCAGACCATCAATGACCCACCACCAAAACAGTCATGCTGAACGATGTTACAGGCAGCATAACTTTCTCCATGGCTTCTCCAGACCCTTTCATGTCTGTCACATGTGCTCTGGGTGAACCTGCTCTCATCTGTGAAAAGCACAGGGTGCCAGTGGTGGACCTGCCATTGATGGTGTTCAATAGCAAATGCCAATCGAGCTTTATGGTGCCGGCAGTGAGCACAGGGCCACCTAGTGGATGTCAAGCCCTCAGGCCACCCTCGTAAAGTCTGTTTCTGATTGTTTGGTCAGAGACATTCATACCAGTGGCCTGCTGGAGGTTATTTCATATGGCTCTGGCAGTGCTCAGCCTGTTCCTCCTTGCACAAAGGAGCAGATACCGGTCCTGCTGATGGGTTAAGGACCTTCTACAGCCCTGTTCAGCTCTCCTAGTGTAACTGCCTGTCTCCTGGAATCTCCTCCATGCTCTTGAGACTGTGCTGGGAGACACAGCAAACCTTCTGGTAGTGGCATGTATTGATGTGCCATCCTGGAGAAGTTGGACTGCCTGTGCAACCTCTGTAGGGTCCAGGTATCGCCTCATGCTACCAGTAGTGACACTAACCCTAGCCAAATGCAAAACTAGTAAAAAACAGTCAGAAAAGATGAGTAGGGAAAAAAAAATGTCAGTGGCCTCCTCCTGTAAAACCATTCCTGTTTTGGGGTTGTCTCGTTGTTGCACATCTAGTGCACCTGTTGTTAATTTCATTAACACCAAAGCAGCTGAAACTGATTAACAACCCCCTCTGCTACTTAACTGACCAGATCAATATACCAGGAGTTTAATTGACTTGATGCTATACTCTAAAAAGTGTTCCTTTGATTTTTTTTTAGCAGTGTATATACACACCTATATATACAAATTTTCAGGGTTAGGTTAAGGGCTAAGTTTGTTCAGCTAAACCTAGAAGGATTAGAATCTCTGCTATCCATGGCTTCGTTAGAAACTAGGGGAGTGCTCCATCAGTAACACAGAAAGAAAAAAAACTTTTTCCTTTGGTTTCCTTTCAACTATCTTGGACCTTTTCTTGTGGTAGAAAACAACCCCACATAAGTCTCATTCAGTTATTTTGTATTTTACAGAACTAAAAACAGTTAAAAAAAAAAAGTTAAAATGCAGTACACAAATATTGATCAAATGCACAATATTAGGAACAAATACACATACATAAACCGGTAATAAATTATATTAAACTACTTTAAGTGCACCAAAAATACCCTCTAAATAAAGAAGAACAGCTTGATTTTTTTCCAAGCACATATTGTCTAATCAGTGAGTAAGTGAATGTTCTAACATACTGTGCTCTGCATACCTCGGTATAACACTGCCTCTGGCAGCTCCTGGACCCTGAATCCCATCCGTTTAATAATGATCATCTATCACTAATAAGCTGTTGCATTTCGATGGTATTTTCATTTGTCTAGTGGTGATTTTTTTAAAATAAATTCTTTTTAAGAGCCAGTGATAGATTAGCATCAGTGATAACAAAAATGTTGACATTTAGGGGGCATCTTTATAAAGCAGTAAATGTGACATTTCACCAAAGATCCACTGCAGGCAAATCTTTCTGGTGCTTGGATTTTAAATTACAAGGAGTAACTCACCTGCAATTAAAAGATACATTCATCTTTAACTGCTTCCCCGCTTCCCAATAGCAGAACTACTGCTACAGGGCAGCAGGGCTGCGCAAAATAACATATATATATATATATATATATATATGTGTGATTTTGCATTTCTGGGTAGTGGGTGCATGCACGCGCGCACCGCCCTACCCTTGCCGCCATTGGCGGCTACAGCTGCCGATCTCCGGGTCCCAGCCGGAGATTCCCCGCCGGCACCCGGTGATCACCAAGAAGCACTGACAGGAAAAAAGGTGTGAATGTAAACAACACCAGCATGCTGCTTTGTATTGCTCTGAATAGTAAAACGGCACACAGCACATAATGTGAAACACACACAACACACAGTTAACCCTTTGATCACTATATTAGTGTCACTGAGGATGTCAGTGGCAGTTTCCCGCCAGTGTCAGAATGCCCGCAGCAGTCCCGCTATAAGTCACTGATCGCCGCCATTACATTAGTATAAACAAAATGTAAAAAAAAATTACAGTATATATACCGCCATTTGTAGACACTACAACTTTCATTTATAACAATTAATTTACACATATTTGGATTTTTTTTTTTTTTTAGCAAAGACATAGCAGAATACTTTTTGCCTAAATTTATGACAAAGTTAGATTTTTTAAACATTTTTTACTGCATATGTTTTATAGCAAAAACTCAAAAAAATTTATTTTTTTTCACAATTGTCGGTCTTCTTTTGTTTATAGCGCAAAAAAATTAAAACCGCAGAGGTGATCAAATACCACCGAAATAAAACTCCATTCATGGGGAAAAAAAAGGACACAAATTTCATTTGGGTGCAGCGTTGCATGACTGTGGAATTGTCCGTTAAAATAAGGCAACCCCATATCGCAAAAAAATGGCCTGGTCAGGAAGGGGGATAAATCCTCTGGAGGGCAAGTGGTTAAAAAGAAAAAACGTGAGATGTACTTTTTTTTTTTTTTTTTTTTTTATTATGAGCCTGTAAAGCATTGCTCCCGCCATCAGTAGATCACGGGTGCAATGCAATGCTCCTGCAGACTGCCAGTGTAAGCGGTCTGCTCATACTTCATATGGGCAGGCAGTTGCACAATAACAGAAACCATCAATTAACTACCTAGAGTACTCCCCAGCGCTTTGGTAGTTCATTGAAAACTACAAGCCACAAAGGCTGAAAGTAGTTGTAGTTTTTCCATTCACAGAACTCTGTGAATAAATGACATGGCCGAATACGTAACATGTTCCCAAAGGTGAACTTATTCTTTAATCTTTGGTGAATGTCACGTTAACTGCTATTGTCAGGTTATTTAGTAATTCTGAGCTAATATTAGGGTTTAGCTGTATGATGTGTTTTGTGTATGATGAAATGAGTGGTAATGATGTGCTTCCTTTTGTAGATTTATGCCTCCAGATGATCCACTAGGCAGACATGGACCAAGCCTGGATAATTTTTTAAGGAAAAAGCCCGTTCTCCCTGAATACAAGAAACAGCCATGCCCATATGGTACGTTATTGATTATTTAATTGTTTAAAATATACCAGTTGGTTAACTGCCTAGTATATTTTCAGTGAAAGTATTTTGATTTTTGGAGTCTTTAAAAATAAAATTTGACTTTCGAATTTTTACAAGGTTTACTTTTCCATATCAAATGCTATTGTATTATAGTGCCTTGCATTTTAGAGGGAGATCTCAGTGGCTTAGTGTAATTATAGAAGTTTTTATTAGTTGAGTTAAGAGAGCAGCCACACAATAAGTGCTTTATTTTCAATGAGTCAGCAAATGGTGGAAGGAACACTGGGGCAGGAAGCAGAGTCTGCGTATGTAATTAACAAATATGGTTATGCTCCATATGCATATATAATTAAAAATAAACCAAATAGTTTCCTTGACCTAGCAAAAACAGGAAATAAAGACTTCTGCATCCACTACACAGTCTATATACTAGATGTAAAATGTAATTGTAATTTTTAAGAGACAGCGCACCCACTTTCTTTCAAGTAATTTGTAAGAGACAGCGCACTGCCTTTCTTCCAAGTATTTTTTAAGAGACAGCACACCCCCTTTCTTCCAGTATTTTTTAAGAGACAGCACACCCCCTTTCTTCCAAGTACACTAGCCCACTCCCTTTGAAAACGTGCAGTTGCCACGAAACGCGTTAGGGAGATGCTATTTGACCCACAACCACTACCCACATGGTCCACACCTTGACACGGGCGGCCATCTTTGGAAGTGTATATTGCACCATGTAAGTGCGTTTTTTGTTTACTACTCCATAATAAAAGTTATCACACTATCGGAAGCCTCTCTTTTGGGTTATTTCTGAGCCCTGAAGGTGATTCCTGGTCCTTGAGCGCACATCGCACCCCGGGAGGTCGCTGACACAAGGATTCTACTGCATACCGGATGAACGTTTACTCCACCGGATACCTGGGAATTCCATTACTGGAGAGGACACGGATGACTCTGGTGACCATAGTAGAGACGACCACCATTCCGGCAGGTTCCCTGATCCAGTGACCAGGAGTAGGTCATTTTACTCCAATGCGCTTTTATTTGCGCTATCTGCCTCTCTTTTGGGTTATTTCTGAGCCCTGAAGGTGATTCCTGGTCCTTGAGCGCACATCGCACCCCGGGAGGTCGCTGACACAAGGATTCTACTGCATACCGGATGAACGTTTACTCCACCGGATACCTGGGAATTCCATTACTGGAGAGGACACGGATGACTCTGGTGACCATAGTAGAGACGACCACCATTCCGGCAGGTTCCCTGATCCAGTGACCAGGAGTAGGTCATTTTACTCCAATGCGCTTTTATTTGCGCTATCTGGTTAGTGCATTCCACAGCCATATTTCCTACCACAGATGTCACAGATTTACGTCACTCCGATGATAGATTGACTTTGACACCTTTATCACCATTTATACCTTCTTAACCATGAGAATGTTATAATATTAGTTGCATAAGACTATTATGATAGCTGCGTTTATATCTTATTAAGTGGTCACTCCGTATTATGAGATAGATCTATTCACTCTAGCGCTGCATGTTTTTGTATATAATTTGTAAGAGACAGCGCACCCCCTTTCTTCCAAGTAATTTGTAAGAGACAGCGCACCCCCTTTCTTCCAAGTAATTTGTAAGAGACAGCGCACCCCCTTTCTTCCAAGTAATTTGTAAGAGACAGCGCACCCCTTTCTTCCAATTTGTAAGAGACAGCGCACCCCCTTTCTTCCAAGTAATTTTTAAGAGGCAGCTTACCCCCTTTTTTTTCCAAGTAATTTGTAAGAGACAGCGCACCCCCTTTCTTCCAAGTAATTTGTAAGAGACAGCGCACCCCCTTCTTCCAAGTAATTTGTAAGAGACAGCGCACCCCCTTCTTCCAAGTTATTTTTAAGACAGCACAGCCCTTTTTTTTCAAGGAATTTGTAAGAGACAGCGCACTCCCTTTCTTCCAAGTAATTTGTAAGAGACAGCGCACCCCCTTCTTCCAAGTAATTTTTAAGACAGCACAGCCCTTTTTTTTCAAGGAATTTTTAAGAGACAGTGCATCCCTTTTTTTCAAGTGCTCACATTATCTATTTTCTCTATAATATGGTTTGATATTGTATGCACAATTGCACGTTGGCACCCCCTTTTTTTCAAGTAGATATGATTAAAAATACCTAGAAACAAGGTGTTCAAAACACACATTTTAATCAGATTATTTAAATCATACTAATTTCTTTCACATCAAATAAATAAACTGTGCGTTTCCTTTAAAGTAAACCTTTTTAAACGAATGGGTTCTGCAAAGTTTGTTATCCAGAGAAGCCTTTTCTACGTATCCTTCTGATTCTGGTTTCACTTTGTTATTATAACCTGGCCTTCCATGACTTCTTCTAGGTGCTCCCTACTTGGAAAATTGAATAATGGAGTTTTCTCATTGAGCATGGGTTACAGGTTGTTGGGGGCTTAGCTTAGAGGATGGGTCTTAAATCTGAAATCTGGAGAGTCCTGCCCTTAGTAACAAAGTGACCATAAATTAGGTAGGTTTAGACTTTTGTTTTTAAAGTTTAAAATGTTGGACAGGTTTTGTTTAAAGACTTTTAGGCAAAGACTAAAATTTATGGTTATAGTAATGTTAGTGAAACATGTTTTAATTAAATGCTTTGACTACTTATATTTTTTTTCCCCCTTAGGGAAGAAATGTACCTATGGGCATAAATGCAAGTATTATCACCCAGAAAGGGGCAATCAGCCACAAAGGTCCGTAGCTGATGAACTTCGTGCCATGTCTCGGAACAACATAGCCAAAACCGCTGGTGAAGTCGGACTGGTGAAGAGCAACAGTGTGCCTTCAAATACAAAGATTGACACCAGCTCAGACGTAAAGCGCTCAGCTCCAAAGAGGCAGTCAGACCCTAGTATAAGAACTCAGGCTTATGACTTGGAGGAAAAGCTCCCCACCAAAAACAAGTTGGAAACTAGGTCTGTGCCATCTTTAGTTAGTATATCCAGCATAAAACCCCAAAGTACAACTCCATCTAGAAATGGAGCTCTTGCCAATGTGCATTTACCATCTCAGGACCAAGTACCACCTGGACTCTACTCTCCAATGATATTGGCAGCAAAGAATCATGGGACAATCCCATGTGACCAGTACCCTAAATGTGAATCCCCTGTGGATACTGGATATTATTCGATGATGAATGCTTATTCAAACCTCAGCATCTCTGGAAACCGGAGTCCGGAACGTCGTTTCTCATTGGATACAGATTACCGGATAAGTTTTGTGGCTTCTGACTGCAGCAGCGAAGGTAGCTTGAGTTGTGGGAGCAGTGACTCCTACTCAGGTTACAACGACCGATCTTATGTCAGCTCCCCTGACCCTCAGCTGGAGGACAACCTGAAATGTCAGCATATTCACACGCACAGTCGGGCGAATTCCCAAGCATTCCAAGGCTACCATGACCCTTTGATGAGAGTCCAAAGTTATGGTCATGAGCCAGAGCCAAAGCACCACCACAAGCCTCCACCACCATACATGCCATTACCACCCTTGCATCATGCTGTTGCCGCACGTTCAAGCTGCCCAAATGATTACCACGTTTCCCCAAATTCACCTATGTCAAAGAGTGGAATTATGGGTAGATCATTGGTTTCTACAAGGATGGAGAGCGTTTCTGATTCCCGCTTGTATGAAAGCCCTCCTCAACGGCAGCACAAAATATACCTTAGCCAAGAAAGCCCAAGAAATAGCGACCGGGTAAATTATCCTGTGGATGCTTATGGTTATCGCCCCAGTTACCCAGTGTCGGGTAACCCATCACAGCCATGTTATGAGCAGTTTGCTTTCCAGAGCCCACTGGAGAACCAAGACCCCTCTTGGAGGGTTCCATACTGTGGCATCCCCCAAGAACTTCCAAGATTTTCAAACACCAGAGAAAAAATCTTTGTGAACTTGTGTAACATCTTCCCAGCAGAACTTGTGCGCATTGTGATGAAAAGGAATCCGCACGTCACTGACGCCCAGCAGCTCGCAGCAGCCATTTTGATGGAAAAATCCCAGTGTGGATATTGAAATATAAAAAAAACTATACACCTTTTGCGGTGTGAAATTTATTTCTTTTGTTCAGCTATTGCTGAAGGAGGTTTGCTACAATAGCATTTGTAATCTCCTTCTCAGGGGGTTATATAGTAATTCATTTATGTTAATTATAGAGCCATGCATCTTTTGTGGTCACACTCGAGTCTTATTTGTGCTCAAGATTTGTATTGAGGAATGAAGGCTCAATTACAGCACAGGGTTATAATACCTTCGTATGAAAAGCAAGGGTTATTTTCCTTTAATGGTTTTTGTAACTGCTTTGATAAATCGCATAACCCTCGGCCTTTGTAAAATGGCTTAATAATTTTATAAACATAGATATTTATTTATATTTTGATATTTTGGTGCATCAGGGGTTTCCAGGGACGCACTTTTTATTCCTCTGATTATTCCCTAACAAACCAGTTTAAAGAACCAGTCCCTTTTAAAGACCAACAATGTTAAACTACTGATCAATAATTCATTTGCTAACCTAATTTGTCTTAGAGCTGAACTCCAGACAAACAGCTAAATTCTCAGATGAAATACATATATATGGGAGCTGTTTTATCTGACAAAAGATTGGTATTTCTATCCATCTGGTCCAGAGATTTACATAGCTTTACCACACAGAACGTTCCTTTCTGGCAGGACAGGAGACCTATTTTTAAGCTGCTGCAGTTAAGTAACATTATTAGGTCTTGTCCCTCCCCCTTAGCCTGTGACTAGACAGTGCAAGGAGAAGCAGCAGACTAACAAGCTCACCTTTCTCACTCTGCTCTCTCCTCTGATCAATATGTTCTGCTGTACAAGAGGCTGACTGCAAGAGGCTAATACTGGGTCAAATTTAGATATTGATTGCATTTTTTAAAAAAATAGATGTAATGATATTTTAATGAATACAGGGCTGCATTGATTTGTGTCTGGAGTTCAGCTTTACCATAACAGAATTTATTCTTGACTTTTGTAAAATAAGATGTACATTACAGGTCAGGACAATAACAAAGAATGCCTTTTTCTAACACTCACCTTTAGCTTTACCAAATTAAGTTATTTTAATTTTATTTTTGTTGTATTTATTTTTTATTTCTTCCCTCCCATTCAGTTTAGGTTGAGTTTACAGTATGCATAGCCTCAAAAACTTAAGGACCACTTGTTATTATCGCGATCAAGTTGAAACTAAGGAAAAAGGGACTGCTACTTTAATTAGTGGGTTTACCCATACATGTAGCTTATTACTTGAATTAAGCATTGTAACACTGTAGAGTCTTTTGTGTGTTTTTTTTTTTTAATTTAATTTTACTTTTGTTTTTTAAAAACAAAGACCAAACAGCACTGATATTTTTTATTTTTTAACTATTTATTTTAATGATTTCATTTTATTTTGTACTTCACCGACTAACATGGCTTACAATATATCAATCATTTACAAAGAACAACACTTTTTATTGTGTATTTTATTGTTCATTTTCTATTGGTACAGTTCTTTCCTTTTATTGTGTGATTAGTACATTTTCTTTTTTATTTTTATATTTATTTTTTTACAGTTTTGGGGTATCTACTAGTATTGAGTTGTATGGCTTAAGTACTGACTTTAATTAATGTAGGATCACTATACAGATCTAATTTTTTAAAATGTACTTTACAGAAAGGCTATGGCGATTTTAAGTCAGGTCTGTGATTTTAATTGGTTTGTAAAATAAGAGGGGCATTCTCAAAAGAGACAAGATATGTTTTCTGTGATCGTCTGATAAAATATTTTTTAAATATTCTATATTTAATGGTCACCCATCATTTAATTTCAAATGGCAAGGGTATAACATATTGGAAGTGCTTGAATTTATTAAGGCTTTAGTTTATTTTAGAAGGGTGATGATAATCATTGCCTCTTATGCATATAAGCCCTAAACCCTCCCTATATGCATGTTGTTATGGCAAGCCTAGGAATCCAAATGATGGAAAATTAGGTCTGTCCTGAAGTACTTACTGCCTCCAAAACATTTTTTAGTTCTGAATGGGCAAGCAAGTGTTAGATACTCTAACAGGTTTTATTGCTCTTTGTGTCCCTATTGGGATTATTTCCCTGATTACTGAGGCAGGGAGCTGTAATGTTTTTGTGTACAGCACCCTGCCGACCCCTCCCACCTGCCGTGATCTGCCTGCATTGCACAACGAAGCACAGAGACCTAGTCATGATGTCACTGGGTCTAAACTAAGGTATGTATTAAAAAGAGAAAAGTTTATTTTTTCATTAGCAAGTTGATGAGGGGGGAAAGGAGTAAGCAGGGAAGGAAAAATATGAGCACATTAAACTAAGTATAGCTAAAGGCAAGCTTTTTTTTATTTTTAAATAGAGTGGAGATGGATTAGAACACCTATTTGGTTTTTATTGCTGTCTGTGCCCCTTTTAGGGAGATTCACCCTCTCTATTTGTCCTGCTTACCATTATCATCAAAAGTGAAAGTGAACGAAAATCCCAAATTGTGTGTTGTCCCCAGAAAAGTTATACGGGGGAAACCTTCCAAAGGGGACACTAGTTCCATTGACCTGGGGGGCCCAAGGGATACCCTTAAATTTTAGGTATTTCCTCTCACTTCCTGTTTTGGCATTGGGACAGGAAGTAAAGGTAAATCTCCCCAATGGGACACAATTGGCCAAAAAAGACAGAGGTTATAACCCTTCCTTAATCTATCCTAAAAGAAAAAAAAAGTTTTGCCTGTAATTCTACTTTCAGCTTTAAAACAAACCTTTATTTGCCCATGTAAGGCAAAGGAATACCCCTGTGTACACACAGCATATATTAGCACTGGGCACCGGAGATAATAGCAGTTTCTTCTACGTATAAAGGAGCTTGTGACCCACTCCACATGACTACACTGAGCCATGCACTGCCACATGGGGAGCCCTTAGCCATGTGTAAGGTACTAATCCAGTGCAGAGGATTTTCTGTGCTTATGGTGGCTGAAAAAAAAACAAAAAAAAAACAGCAGGGCAACAAAAGGAAGACGAATATGTGCTTCTATGGAAGGCTAAGTTAACGTCAATCTATAGCCTTGTTCTGAGTGGGATAAGCACAGGTTTACTTTAGGAAATGTAGCACATTGGATCCTAAATCCCCAGCATAGTTAGTGCTGCCTGCTCAAAGAATGCTTTTTAGTTTTACTATTGGTAGAATACATGAACATCGTACTGGGCTCCAAACACTGCAGTCATAACCTGAACAGCCCATTGCTCACCTCCCTCTGGGAACACCAGTTGCATGGCTGTCTCTTGACTGAATACCTTTTGAGCCACTGACCAAGAGAAAGCATGTGGCCAGTGAAGTCAGAGGAACATTTAGAACTGGAAGCATCTGAACAGGGGCGGACTGACAACTCATGGGGCCCCCGGGCAATAGGGGATCATGGGGGCCCTGTGTCCTTGCCCAAACTCAAAAAAGCCTATGAAAAAGGTACCAGGGGCATCTCATGGGGCCCCCTACTGACCCCGAGCCCTTGGGCAGTGCCTGAGTTTCCAAATGGTCAGTCCGCCCCTGCATCTGAACCTTTGATCAGCATAATAGCCAGGTAACTAACATTCTCCAAGGGAGGTTTTGGCAATACTAGCTCATGTTGAGTACAGTTTTCCTTTAAACTCAGTACTGCTCCCTTCAGCACTGGTTTTTCCACTTGAGTTACACAAAGTAGGCTTTGGCTTATGTGTATAGATTTTAAATATTTGCTGCATGCCCTGCTTTCAGCCCTCAATCAGAAAAGGACAAAGCATTCTGACCAGAGCCCTCCTTTAAACATGATTCTGCTGCATTACACTACACTTTTTTTTTTTTGTAGAACTCTAGCATTTCCTACCAAATCTTCTTCCCTTACATAACTGTCTATAGCATTTCCTACCAAATCTTCTTCCCTTACATAACTATGTCTATAGCATTCCCTACCAAATCCTCTTCCCTTACATAACTATGTCTATAGCATTCCCTACCAAATCCTCTTCCCAACTATGTTTTTAGCATTCCCTACCATAACTATGTCTATAGCATTCCCTACCATAACTATGTCTATAGCATTCCCTACCAAATCCTCTTCCCAACTATGTTTATAGCATTCCCTACCATAACTATGTCTATAGCATTTCCTACCAAATCATCTTCCCTTACATAACTATATAATTCTCCACCTTTTATAGAATGCTCCCACGCCAGAATTTTTCCCAGACTGCTTTTTTTTTTGTCTTTTTGGTCTCTGGCCTTTTTTGCTATACTTACATTTCACAAGGGTAGAAAACAGTAACTCTAAAAGAGATCAGTGGTCCATGCCAGAACTTAGAGAAGCAGATATGTTGGAAGGAGTATAGAAAGTAGAGTGCACTTTCATCTGATTTTTCACCCAACATTCTGACTCCTGGCCATGGGTATGGAAAGTCTGTTCTTGTGTAAATGCAAACTGCTAGAATCCAAATGAAATTCTCTGATTTACATTTGGGGGGGGGGGGGGGGGGGGGGGGTCCACATTGGCATGTTTGTAAAACCTTACAATAAGTACTCAGTACAGTCACAAACTCCAAGATTTAGACATTAGAAGAACAGTACCCCAAAACGCAGGAGCGTGTTTATTAAGAGGCAGGTGATTGGTGAGTCAATCATTCTTCAAGTGTTTTCCATACTTAAAATGCACATTCGCTGATCACACTTTTTTTTTCCTGTGTTGAGTCCTAATTACTGCACAAATGGATATCCTAATCTTCAACAGGAAATCCAAATTTTAGTAAGATTCAGGAAATGTGTCTAGATTGGCCTCTTTATGACCTTCACGATCTGTGCATCATGCCAGACTTGTGTACTCAATGGCTTGGGCATGTTGGTTTGGGTTTGTGTCAAAGGGAATGCAAAAGCTGCTTAAAGCAACTCAGAATGAAGTCAACAGGAGGTCAAAAGGAAGCATCTCAAATGCAAGCTGAACACACCTGAAAGCATGCTACATTTGTGCATCAACACAAGC